TATTTGGTTTTGCCGAAATGTTCGCTAAAAATTTAAGCTAAGGGACCGCAGATAAGGCGTAAAACGGATGCACTTGTGACCGAACGGTTGTATCCTCTCCTAAAACATGTATACCTTTGCTCCTGCAATGTCACCGCATGTGAATGTTTTGCATTGCACGTGTGCTGTGTGAATGTAGTGCTCTTGAAATGAGTGTGATGTAGGACAGTTCTGCTGCCACGGAGCCTCAAGCATCTGTTTCAAAGTCTGGTAACTGAATCAGTTTTACTCAGACCTGGCGCCGCAGTTGGCAGTTGCCGCCAAGCCCATCTGACAGACTAAACCAAGTCTGCATCCGAGGCGACGGCTACGTCTGCGGCTCCAATCATATCAACAGCTAAGATAACTGTTCCGTTTATTGCAACCACGAGGGCGAAGGCTCCGACTCAGGCTGGGTCGACGGCAACGGCTACGGCTACGGCTACGTTTTCAAGTATACACCAGCGAAGGCCACGACTCCGGTTATGACTTCTGCTAGAGTGACGGCTGCGACCCTAATTACATCGACGCTGATGTCAACGCTAAGGGCGATTGCTCCGACTCCGGTTAGGGCGACGGCGATGAATACAAGTAATGCTACGGCTCCAACTCCAGGTAGGGCGAGGGCGACAGTTACGGCTGCGCTTTGACCAAGGCTCCGACTCCGGCTAGAGCAACGGCTCTGTTTTCGGCTCAGGCTATAGTGACCGCGACGGCAAAGACGTCGTTTAGGCATCTCAATGACTTTTAGGCCGAGGCCTACCAACTCGTGCTCCTGCACGGAAATTGTTGGACAGTCGTAATACCAACTGCAAACTGACACTTACATGCTCGCATCTCAATGTACCAATTTGGTAATTTAATTTTCTCCGTTTCACGTGAACTGGTGTATTAAAGCAAATAGAATGATCCACCATTTAGGATAAACTAAAAATGCACCAAATTAGATACCAGAACAAAGGAAGGTGTGGGTGTGCATTCGTGGCTATGTGATTTCATGTTTACACGCATGCAGTGGTGACAGTAGTGTCGGGCCAATAAAGGAATATGACAAACAAACTATTAAGATGATGCGGTTAATCGACTGCAGACTCAAACCGAGGCTTTTGTGGACTCGATGCCATGACTTGTATTGCTCTGACGATCTCTCCTTCTCAGACTGTCTTTGGCCGTGTTGTCGGTTGTCCGTCTGTTGGTTGGCTTTGTCTCTGTCTCACCGAGGCGCAGTCAAAGGGAGGAAGATTTGATAGGGTGGGTGGGATAAGAGCGCCGGGGGAAAGGAGCCGGGGCTGGGTTGGGAGGCGCGTGTGATGGCAGGTCAGGACCAATTGACAGGACGAGTGAAGACGACCAACCTTAGAACAGATGGTGATGTAACAGCGGGGAGTCGCAAAATCCGTTTAACACTCTAGCCTCAATGGAACCATGACAAAAGGGCCTATGCATGTGCGTATACGGTTGTAGTTGTAGTTGTAGCTGCCGTTGCAGTTGCAATTGTAATTGCAGTTTAGCTGCAACTCACCTCAAAGCTTTGACATTGTCCGGCGCCTTCAGGGGCGGATGGAATAACTTAGTCTACCGGTTAACTAATAATTGGGTCCCGGGACCCGTTTGCAGGCCAGTCGAGAGGCCGTGTATGCTTGTGCAGATGGAGTTCAGTTAATTAGCCGATATTCCGCCGTATCAAGGCTGGAGAGGGAGAGAGATTGAGGCAACGAGACAACGGGTGAGGTGGGCAATCCAGCCTGTTGCACCGTCGGTACCGGAATCACAAACCTCAATGAGACCAAAAGCGCTGCAGGACAAGCAAGAGAAATGAAGGATATACCTTAAAACTGGATGATACGGGGTTGTAGAAAGAGATAAAGCAATCAAGTTTCACCAACACAAAGCTTAGATGTGATGATAATAAGCATGTTGACGATACTGACTTGCATCAACATGAGATGACTGTCCGCTTGTGGTAAAGACTGAGGTTGATCGAGTTGCCGACCGGAAAATTTCTTTTAGCATTTTTGGTATAGCTTTCGGTTCATTGGACAAATCGAGTAAAGGGTACTCGTCACTTGGGCATGTCAACAAACGGAAGGAGATGTGGCTGAGTTAGGTCATACTGAGATGTCATCTTTCATGTGACAGAACTCGTATAAGCGGGAAAACATGCTTTGTGAAACGTTAGGAAATGTGGCAAGTCAATTCTCCGATGCTGGAAGTCATCATGAATGTGTTGGCAGAGGACGCGTGACTAGGTACGTTCCACAAGGTAGTCATCTTGCACTGACTAAGTTGCAGAAGCGAGATCAAACCAAGATCATGCAACGAAGCGAGACTGTGACAAAACTAAAGACCACGCCATCTTGCACTTTCATTTCGAATGAAAGTGCATGAAGAAGAGATTCGTTGGTCGATCTCACCAGATGAGGTCGGATGAATCTCGTTGTACTGCAGCCTTTTGGCTTTTATACCATATTCATGTTGACGCAGTCCACGAGACTTCCTCCCTCGTTTCGGGTGAAAACGTGCTGAGCTTTCGTCCATTAATCGATGAACATCATCAGAGCTTGGTTTTATTCTTGTAAAAGTCTCACATTAACACTAAAGCAAGAACACTATCTTATATCTTATATAGACTCAATTAAGCCAAAATAAAATAAAAATCATAGATGGATAGATAGAGTTGTTTGGCTAATTATCTTTCATACTGATCCTGCTACTTTTGCTCGAGTGTGCGTATGTGTATGTATGTGTGTGTTGTGTGTGTGTTAGTTTGTATACGCAATACCGGTCCTTAATCAGACTTATCAAAAGGCTAATGTCAAGCTCTGATCGTCAAGGCCTAATGACCCAAAAGAAGCCCTGACCGAGACTGCGTAAGTCAGTGAACAAGTATGGTTGAAATAATGAGATATGAGCTTGTAAACATGCGAGTCGAGTTACGAAACCACTTGTCCTAACCTCTCATTCTAAGGTCATTTACGCTTAACCCCCCAAAGAAAGGCACGACTGACGCTGGCATGTATGGTTTGGTTGATGAGCTTATTCTAACAATTTGGACGAATGTGAGTAAATTAGAATCATCACTAAGCAGACAAATTGAGTCGCTTTCTTTTTGACGGCGGCTCAACACCCTCGCCCTCTTTCAATCTATCAATTAAGCATAAGTAGTTCCTACTCAACATTCTCCCACCATTCATCACATTCCACGTATTTTCTAAACTATTAATTTTAATAGCCTCTCTTATCGTTCTTTTAACCACAGACGTACCATAATCTGCAAACCTACTAGTTTGAGACCATTCCATTTCATGTACAGTTTCAACCACGTGTTCGACCACTTCTGACCGTTGCACCTAGCTTCCCTCACAAGTATTTTTGTGTTTTAGTGCAGAAGCAAGTGTGAGGGTTTCTTTGAACACTGTTTTTATGCCCCACTTCTTTACTAATTCTCCTATCTTTTTTGAGAGTAAGCATGACGGTAAAATTAGGATATGGGAAAAGGTCTCAGTCTGTCTATCTTTGACTAAATAATCTCCTTCTTAAAATGTATTTTTAAGGAGAGAGATATTATTCTCAATAAAGCCTAAATGATAATTATTTTCGAGGAATATATTTGTCAGCCGTTGCGACTCTTTATTTAATTGTTTGCTATCCACTAGCCTCATACTTCCAAGAATCATTGACTTCGAAATTCCAACCTTAGTCTTGTGACTATGGTTGGAAAGAAAATTAAGCAGAGCCAACATATGTTGGCTTCCTAACTTACCCTCTTCCACTTCAATTGTGAACCTAATGTTCCTTTCACTCTGGTTGATTGAAAGTAGGAAACTATCTAAACTTCCTTCCCATGAGACCAGATGACAAAATAGTCATTATCTATCTACCCCAAAATTTGGGGGTTAGTATTGCCTCTTGCAGGGAGTGTTCCTTCAATCTTGCCATATAGTTGTTCGCTAGGATGGGAGACAAGAATGATTGCATTTCTAATCCTTGAGTTTGTTTATATAACTTACCAACAAAGGTAAAATATGTGGTACTCATGCATAGATTAATAAGTCTAATAATGGAAGCTACACTCAGCCTTATTTCTTGTGTTATCTCTGGATGCTCCTCCTGAGTTTGTATCAGAGCTTGAATACATTCTTGGATAGAAATGTTTGTGTACATAGACACAACATCAAAACTTACTAGCTTATCCTCTTCAGAAATTGTCTGCTGATCTAGCAATTTCACAAAATCATATGAATTTTTAACTGAATATAGCCAATAATTGGCAGATTTCCTTAGTTGTATGTATAAAAACGGTGAGCTCTTATGCATCACGCTTCCTCTATTATTTACAATTAATCTTAGGGGGGCACCCACTTTGTGAACCTTACGGAGACCATAAGCGGTAAGGACCCTTGCATCTCTCTGGAGTAGTGAATTCATTTTCCACTTCTCCATTTCACCATTACTTACGCATAC